CCCAGTCAGGGTTCCTCATCTGTGTCAAATGCTGACGCAGATGGAAAATCACTTATTTCAGCAGGTCCTTAGGTGCTGCCCTGGCTCCTGCAAACCTTGAAATCTGCACTTGAGTGAAATGAATAAGACAGTCTGGCGGCGCTGCACACAAGAACAGAAACAGCGCCTCACCTAAACACGCATATGCACGTGGCCTTAACCAGCTCCACGAGCTGATGCCACGGAAAGCGGTCTCCCCACACACCTGGATGACGGGCTCTCCTCCCACCCGGGCCCTGTCCCCGGGGGACCTCGGCATGCTTTCCGGTCACTCAGTCTCAGGCTGCTTATCTGTAAAATGGGGGTCTAGAACCCGGCACCCCAGCAGGGAGCGGGAAGCAGTGAATGAGGGCATTTTCCCATTTGGGCCTCAGCACCCCAGCAGGATGGCCGTCATCACCCTTGGGGGCGCAGGTGAATCTGTATTAAAAATTCTGGAAAGAAAGAAGTCCCTAATGGTTGGCTGTTGAGGGTGGAGGTGGGAATCCAGAGATGGGGTAGAAGGACAGCTTCACGGAGCACCTTCTTAGAGGGCTAGGGTTTTCTGAGCCATATCAATATAGTACCTATTAAAAACAAATGTGCCCCAGGGATCTCCCAGGATGGGGCTGGGGGAGGATGCGCGTTACCTATTTCGGCCAGCTCCTCCAAGTCCAGCCGGGACATGCTGTGACGGGGGACAGGGTGGCCTGGGCACACCATCCGGATGCCACCGCCTGAGGATCCGAGCGTGGGGTCCTTCCGACGCCCTGAGGGAGAAGCACACGGAACCCAGGGGGCATTTAACACACAAGTGCACCGGGCTTAAGGAGTAAAGGAGCGCCCTTCATGTGACCTGTTTGCTGTTTAATTTCCCTCCTTGACATTAAAAAAAAACACTTACCATCTGATTCGCCAAGACTGCAGATCACTCTGGTGTTCGGGGTTCAGCCTGCCCAGCCCTCCTGCACCCCGTCCCCTCAACACGGGAGAACTACCCCTCGATGAACAACTCAAGGTCCAGCTGCACGGTGGCATCAACCCCCATGTTTGGGCCTCTACATGTGACCTCCTCCTCTGCAGGCACTGCCCACCGACCAGGGCACCCACAGGGCTCCCCCTCACCAACCAGCCCCACATCCCAGGAGAGCAGGGTGGAGGGCGGTGGGATCAGGGACACATGGAGTGGGGACAGCACTACAAGGACACTTTCATTCCTGCCGAGCCACCCACCTCAGAGATATGCATACTCACTCCTGTACCCACTTTACAGATGGGGTGACTGAGGCCAGCAAAGCTCCATCTCAGCTACTCATGGCTGCATAGGGCTGGCAATCACAATCATAGCTAAGAGTTACCACATGGTCATTCTGTGCCCAGATGCTGCTTCAAAACCTGTGCACATCTTTACAAAAATCCCCATTAGTATCTGAACAATGGAGTATTATTCGTCCATGAAAAGGAAGGAAGTGCTGACACCTGCTACAACCCAGACGAACCTTGAAGACATGATGCTTGGTGAAAGAAGCCATCACAAAAGATCACACGATTCCATTCATATGAAATAATGGCCTCACCCCTCACCTGCCACCCGTTCCAGGCAGGGTCCAAGGGCCCCGACAAAGAGCAGGATGGATTTGTGCCTTCAGAAGCGCTCAGGCTGAGACAGGGGCCCAGACATGAAGTGACCAGTGTGAGGAAAGGACTGGGTGTCTACCAGACGCATGTGGAGAATGACAGAGGCAAGGGCTTGCTGAGGCCACACACGGGCAGGGAGGCCGGTGTCAGGAGACCCCGTCAGGCATCAGAGGCACGGCCTCCCCAGTCAGCACTGCTCACACTGTGCCCAAAGGGACGATGCCACACACACAGGCTCCGGCCAGGGTCCAGGCCTGCGGCCCCACAGGAAGAGGGCTCATGGCTGGACTGAGTGGACACCTCTTGGCCACCAGCATCCTCTCCCTCCTCTGCCCGTAACTCACCCACTTTCTCCCTCACACACACACACACGCACTCTTTCCCTCACCCACATGCACACAAGCATACACACAGCCCTGCGATGGCGAGTGAGGCTCCACCCCCGGGACCTCTGCCTGGTCAGTAACAGCACGAGACTCCCTGAGCCACGGGGATCAACCCAGGAGCGATGACACGAACAGCCGGTCCAATCAGACCGACATCTAAGACATCCACAAAGCCACTGAAAGGAGATGCTTTTAAAATTTCTTCTGCTGGACCCAAACCTGAGAGGATGTGAGCCTTGAGCTAGCCAGGGTCACCACATGAACTTAAGGAAAATGAAAACAGAATGGCAGAAGAGAAATGTCCCTAGAACACTGTGCACCTGGATCCAGCTGTACCTGAGTGTGAAGAGCCAATAAATCCTCTTTTCTGCTTAAGCCAGTTTGGGTTATAGATGACCTGTCACTTCCACCAAAACTGATATTTTTTTCTTTGAAAAATCAGTGATACTGAAACACTTGATGAAATCTGCCTCAATATTCTCTTCTTTGAGGGAATGGAATGATCAAGCCCACGATTTTCCTGTTGATGGTGGTACAGGTAAACAAACTGCATTTCTGAAAACTCTCTGGGGGAAATCTGACTCAGAACAGAGCTACAACCGACGCCAGCCCTGGCCCTGCACACGACCCCATCTCTCCACTCCGCGGACACAGTAAGAAACGGTAGCACCAACGCTGACTCAGCAGGGCACCTGAGGACGCTGCTCTCCCCTGATCCAAGCTTCTCTGTGCCAGGCAGATAACACAGCCTTGTAAGGAACCTGGTCCGCTCCATGTCGCCGTGATTAAGTCCCCCAGACCTCCCTCTACTCTGCAGTTCATTTCTAAACAGCAAAATGGTGTGACAATCACACTGAAGGACTGATTTAAGGGGTTAGGGGGATGTCTCTCATGACCCTGTATACAACTTTTATTTCTGCACACTTCCCTCCGGTCTTTGTCCGCACGCACCCATATTTTACAGTCACAATCAGATTGCACGTACATGTATGTTTTATAATCAGCTCTGTCTGCTTACCCACCACCACCTCCATCAGCCCAGAGCACCCCAGACCCTGGAATATTCAGCCCAGCGCCTGGGCCACCAGCAGCACGGCCAGCGCCATCTGGGATGGGAGTTGGCGTCTCTTGCTGCAAAGAGGAAGATGTGGGGGTCAGGAAAGGGGTGTGGACAACACAGCTGGGTGCTGGACAACATGTGACGTGCTGGTGGCCACCCCGCAGTCAGGCGAGCCCAGCACCACGACTGCAGGACAGCCTGACCTCCGCACCTTCAGATACATTGCAATACTCTTGCCCGAAAGGTCCAACCCGAATCTAATTAAGCCTCCAGTTCTATTGTTCTAGAGGAAACACCCCAGGGAATCAAAGAACACAAGAAATATCACAATAATGGGGGAAAACAAGCAGAGAAACCCAGAATGAGAGCCATCTTACCAGGCAATTTATTGGCCTGGCCTCTTTAAAAGTTGATGTTATTTTTTAAAAAGGCAGGGGAGGCGTGGGGGTGGGGTGGGGTGGGAGCACTGTTCTAGACTGAATGGAGCCGGAGAGACAGAACAAGCAAACGCAGCATGTGACCCTTGATGGAATTCTGGTTTATAAAGGAGCCGCGAAAACATCCCTGGGACAACTGCGGAAGCGTGAACGTGGCCTGAATGGACGATGATATTAAAGGAATTACGGCTCATTTGCTGAGCTGTGAGAATGGTATCAGGTTGTACAGGAGAACGTCTTTATGCTCAAACAGTCGGCAGGGAATGAATGGCGTGGGTCTGCCACTTCCTTTCCAAGAGTTCAGCTCGGAGAGAGAGAAAGAGAGAGAAAATCCATAATGAACGGTACCAACTTCCAAACCAAGGCAAAAAGTGTGTTTTCTTACATGTTGCTATACTCTGAACAATTTTCATAACAATGGTTGGAGACAGAAGGCAGGAAGGAGGGAGCCACTCCGTTGCCTCCCCATTTATCGGAGAACAAGAGGAAGGCCAGTGAGGTGCAGACAGTGGCTCACGGTCACACGGTGACATGGCCCCAGGATGCCTCCTATTACTCCGATCCCTTTACAGCTTCTCTCACCTTGGCACAGACACACCTGGGGGTTTTGTGTGTCCCTTCTGACAGCTCTCCACTGTCTAGGGGCCATGTCACCAGTGACCATTTCCAGTTTCAACCAGCCTCCACCCCCTGCTGTGTCCCCCACCCCCACCCCGCCAGCACTCCCTGCAGCCCAGGCCACCTGCTCCCTCAGGTGGGCTCTGCGGCTACTGATAGCTGTGTCGCCCTTTGTGCCCTCTCTGAGTTGAGATGGACCAAGAGCCTTGCTGGTTGCTGGTGGAAGACGCTGGGCAGAGCACAGGGAGGGAGCCCAGGATGGGGAAGGCAGGGAAAGAGGGCAGAGACCCCGGAGAGAGGGACCCCAGGAACAGGCAGGCGAGGTCGCAGGAGTCACCTGCACCACCTTCTCCACTTCTCTCTGTGTCTCTCACACACTCGCTCACACTCACACACACACACACTCGTCCTGGCTCCCCTGTGCCTACAGTTCTGGGCCACCACCTCCAGCAAGCGCCCTCACAGACAGTTCCAGATCAGCCCCCTAACCACCCACACGTCTCACCCTCACCAGCGACTGGACCTGCGACCACCCCCACCCACTGCCCCCGTCCCCAACCCCTGTACCCTCTGTGTTCTCCAGAGGCTGCATCTCCTGAGGGCAGGGGAGGCGGACGGGATGGCAGCTGAAGGCTGGCGGGCGGGGCCAGGTGAACACACAGGCTGGGGCTTGCTCCCTGCGGGACGCAGGGCACCGAGCACCAGGCAGCGAGGCCCCGCGCTGCCCCACCACCCACCTCCTCCGCATCAGGACACAGCACCGTCTTCCACGTCCAGCCTTCCCCAAGCCAGGTACCCGGGGGCAGCGGGGTAACACCCAGGCCTGGGACCCTAGAACCTACGCCTGGCAGGGAGCTCCCCTCTATCTGCAGTGAAAGTGAGAAAATAAACTCAATCACCTACACCCACAGCCCTGCACCCGCCCAGGCAGCTGGTCCGCAAGGAGACCAGGCCGGGAGCCCGCCGAGCTGCGAACTTGGTGCATGTCTGTCCTCGTCACTCCAGGCACAGGGGTGCGTGTGAAGACCGCTGCCACCCTTGGGGGCACTCAGTCCTGTGGGGGACTCACAGCCACCTTGTCATTCCACTGACCCCTCACGACAGGCAGGAGGGGCTCCTGAAGTTTGAAGAAGGTGGGAAGCCATCCTGTCCCCACTCCACCGCAGCCCCCTCCCCCCGCCAGCCTTCAGCCCCACGCGCCCCCTTTTGCTGGGCTACCCTGGAAAAGCCTGTGAGAGCTGGATGAAGAGCTTGGAGGCAGCCTTCTGAGGACATCAGGGGCCCTGACTGGCCCCCACCTGAGGGCCCTGCCCGCCCAGAGGAGGGAACATGCCTGGAACATTCTTGCTTGCAAGCCTCGCAGGCAGGCGGCCCGACTACCCGGGTAGACAGTGGAAGGGCCCAGGCCGAGTCCTCGTCCTCGGCATAGGGAGGACTCCCACCGCAGAGGGAGGACTCCCACCGCACGGTCCGGCAGCACAGCCCGGGGCCGAGAGTCTCTGAAGCCAAGAGGGCTTTGTTTCCCCTCCAGACTCGGCTTTAACCAGACAGAGTGATTTTTTTCCTCTTTTTGTTCTCTGCAAGCTCAAAACCTTTACCCCATCGCCTATCTCACACAGCACAGGCAG